CCCAATCTATATTATAAACGACCAGTGGCCGTAACACCGTAACGACCAAACGACCAAACGACCGGTCACCAGGAGGTGCATTAATGGGTCTCACTGGCATGACGGGTCTGGGGTCTTGCATGATTTCGCGAGCTGGGTCTCTATTCTATAAATATATAGATTGATAATAGTTGATTAATAAATGGATGGCTGGATAGATAAATGGGTGGCTGGATGGATGCATAGAGGTATGTCCGTGCCTTTGACTGGGAATCAAACCCGGGACCCTTCGGTCTGCAGGCCGACGCTCTATCCACTGAGCCACGCTGGCCAGGGCTGAAATCAATATTTTTTAAACATATTTTTGTTGATTCCAGAGAGGAAAGAAGAGGGAGAGAGAGATAGAAACATCCATGATGAGAGAGAATCGTGGACCGGCTGCCTCCTGCATGGCCCCCACTGGGGATCGAGCCCACAACCCAGGCCTGTGCCCTTGACTGGATTCGAACCCGGGACCCTTCAGTCCGCAGGCCGACGCTCTATCCACTGGGCAACACCAGCCAGGGCTGAAATCAATATTTTTTAAACGGGTCGAGCAGTGTAGGAATGGGACATCCCGCCAAATAACTGTATTGGACAGTTTTCTTCTCTCCCCACGTCTGTGTGTCTGTCGAGACCCCACGCGAGGGCTGTGCTTACCTCTGGAGTTTCCACACACACAGGACGAGGAGGAGCAGGAGCAGGAGGGCGGCCAGGCCATAAATCAAAACGGATTTGGAGAAAACCCGTTCCTCCTGGCACGAATCTGAGGCGGAGCAGAAGGAGATGCGGTTAGTTTTCACACGGAAAGTGGGTCAGTCCTTCCTGATTTCGGTCGGGAGGATCTTGGAAAGAGAGAAGGGTCTTGGACAGACACGCGTCAGGGAGGGGAGGCCACACACACTGGCTTCCGGTTATCACCTATCAGCCATCCATGCACCCATCCATCTACTCGACATGTATCTGTCTACACATCCATCCATCCATCATCCATCCACTCATCCATCCATCCACCCATCCGTAATCCATTCATTCATCTATCCAATATCTGTCCATCCATCCATCCATCTACTCAACATGTATCTGTCCATCCATTCATCCATCCATCCACTCATCCATCCGTCCATCCTTCCATCCATCCATTCATCATGCATTCATCCATCCATCATCCATTCATCCATCTATCCAATATCTGTTCATCCACCATCCATCCATCCATCCATCCATCTACCCAACATGTATTTATCTGTCTATCCACCATCCATCCATCACCCATTCATCCATCTATTCAATATCTGTCCATCCATCCATTCATCCATCATCAATCCATCCATCTACACAACATGTATTTATTTGTCTATCTATCTATCCACCCATCATTCATCCATTCATCCATCCATCCATTATCCATCCATCCATCCACCCATCCATCTATTCATCAATCCATCCATTCACACAACATGCATCTATCTGTCTATCTATCCATCCATCCATCATCCATTCATCCATCTCTCCAATATGCAACAACCTATGAACCAGGAGGTCATGGTTCCATTCCCAGTCAAGGGCACAGGCCCGGGTTTTGGGCTCGATCCCCAGTAGGAGGCGTGCAGGAGGCAGCCAATTTGTGATTCTATTTCATCGTTGATGAACGATCATTATTACCTCGTAGCTGCCCCCTCTGCTGGTGGATCACCTCCGACCAGTCGCTGGGGTACGTTGTGGAGCCATAGGAGGACTTCATGGCGGTCACTCTGGCTCGAAAGGAGTAGCATTTCTCAGCATCCAAGTCCTGGATGGTCACGTTGCAGGTACTTTCTGCCTTTGGCTGGAGGAGGGAAAGCAAACGGAAAGTTTGGTGATCTGATGTGTAGGTAGATGTGTAGATAGGTAGCTGATATAAATAGAGGATAGATGCATGCATGGATAGATGATGCATGGAGGATGGATGGATGGATGGGTGGGTGGATGGATGGATGGATGGATGGATGGATGGATGGATGATGGATGGATGGATGGATGGATGGATGGATGATGGATGGATGGATGGATGGATGATGGATGGATGGATGGATGGATGGATGGATGGATGATGGATGGATGGATGGATGGATGGATGATGGATGGATGGATGGATGGGTGGATGGATGGATGGATGATGGATGGATGGATGGATGGATGGATGGATGGATGGATGGATGGAAGAGTGGATGGGTGGATGGATGAGTGGATGGATGGATGGATGGATGGATGGATGGATGGATGAGTGGATGGATGGATGGATGGATGGATGGATGGATGAGTGGATGGATGGATGGATGGATGATGGATGGATGGATTGAGGGGTGGATGGATGATGGCTGGCTGGCTGGCTGGCTGGCTGGATGGATGAGTGGATGGATGGATGGATGGATGGATGGATGGATGGATGGATGAGTGGATGGATGGATGGATGGATGGATGGATGGATGGATGGATGAGTGGATGGATGGATGGATGGATGAGTGGATGGGTGGATGGATGATGGCTGGCTGGCTGGCTGGCTGGATGATGGATGGATGAGTGGATGGATGGATGGATGGATGGATGGATGAGTGGATGGATGGACGAGTGGATGGATGGATGGATGGATGGATGGATGGATGGATGGATGGATGAGTGGATGGATGGATGGATGGATGGATGGATGGATGGATGGATGGATGGACGAGTGGATGGGTGGATGGATGGATGGATGGATGGATGGATGGATGGATGAGTGGATGGATGGATGGATGGATGGATGGATGGATGAGTGGGTGGATGGATGGATGGAGGGATGGATGGATGGATGGATGAGTGGATGGATGGAAGGATGGGTGGATGGATGGATGGATGGATGGATGGATGGATGGATGGATGGATGGACGAGTGGATGGATGGATGGATGGATGGATGGATGGATGGATGGATGGATGAATGGATGGATGAGTGGATGGATGGAAGGATGGGTGGATGGATGGATGGATGAGTGGATGGATGGATGGATGAATGAATGGATGAGTGGATGGATGGATGGATGGATGGATGGGTGGAGGATGGATGGATGAGTGGATGAATGGATGGATGAATGAATGGATGAGTGGATGGATGGATGGATGGATGGATGGATGGATGGATGAATGGATGAGTGGATGGATGGAGGGATGGATGGATGGATGGATGGATGAGTGGATGGATGGGTGGATGGATGGATGGATGAGTGGATGGATGGATGGATGAATGAATGGATGAGTGGATGGATGGATGGATGGATGGATGGATGGATGGATGAAGGGATGAGTGGATGGATGGATGGATAATGGATGGATGAGTGAGGATGGAGGAGGGATGTGGATGGATGGATGATGAATGGATGAGTGGATGGATGGATGGATGGATGGATGGATGGATGGAAGGCTGGATGGATGGATGAATGAATGGATGAGTGGATGGATGGATGGATGAATGGATGGATGAGTGGATGGATGGATGAGTGATGGATGGATGGATGGATGGATGGGTGGATGGATGGGTGGATGAATGGATGGATGGATGGGATGATGGATGGATGGATGGATGAGTGGATGGATGGACGGACGAGTGGATGGATGGATGGATGGATGGATGAATGGATGGATAGGTAGATGATAGATCATATGATAAATGTGTACATTGATATTAGATGACTAATGAATGGATGGATAGATAGATGATGGATAGATGGAATGACGTTTTGTCTTCGTCCTTGGAACGAAAGCTTCCTTCTCTCAGGCATCTGGACATCTTGGGTAACTTTCTCTTTTTTGCCCAGTTCTTTGCCTCAAAACAACAGCAAAAAATGAGCAACAAACAAAGAAAAATACCCAGTCCGGCCTGTGGTTGAGCATCGACCCATGAACCAGGAGGTCACCCTTCAATTCCAGGTCAGAGCACCTATAATCCATGAGCAATTCCTTTAAATGAATCTCAATACCTCCTTCTCTCTGCTTCTCTCTAATCTTCTCTCTCTCTCTCTCTCTCTCTCTCTCTCTCCTCTCTCTCTCTCTTCTCTCTTCTCTCTCTTCCACCCTCTCCCTGTCTCTTCTATCTATCTATCTATCTATCTATCTATCTATCTATCTATCTATCATCTATTTATTATCTATCATCTATGTATCTGTCATCTATCTTCTATTATCTATCTTTCATCTATGTATTATCTATCTGTCTTCTATCTATTTATCTATCTATCATCTATCTATTTATCTATCATCTATCTATTTATCTATCTATCCATCATCTCTCTATCTATTTATCTATCATCTGTCTCTATCCATCATCTATCTATCTATCTATCTATCTATCTATCTATCTATCTATCTATATCTATCTGTCATCTATCTATCCATCCATCTCCATGTGTCTTCAGAGTTGGCATCTTGGGGACGTTCCGTCACAGGGGCCCCGAGAATATGCCCCCCCACACTCACCTGCCACTCCCCATCAAAGGAGCTCTTGTACTGAACCTCGTACAGGAGGCCCTTCCAGGGCAGGTCGGGACACGTCACCGTCACGGCCTCCTCACGCCACAGGACACGCAGACCCCTCGGCGAGCTGGGTTTCACTGAGGAGGGGAGAGGGCACAGGGGTGGGCTCCCTTGAAAAGAGGGGCACCCCACGTCCCCACAGTGACCGTGGTCAGTTTGCTCAGAATCGCCTTCTTGTGCCTGAGCTAATTCCACCTTTATTCTTATTTTTTTAAATATATTTTTAATTGATTTCAGAGAAGAAGGACGATGGAGAGAGAGATAGAAACACCAATGTTTAGATGGCATCATGGATCGGCTGCCTCCTGCACCCCCCCTACTGGGGATCGAGCCCACAACCTGGGCGTGTCCCCTTGGCCGGGAATCGAACCCTGACCTCCTGGTTCATAGGCCAACGTTCAACCATTGAACCATGCCAGCCAGGCAATGTAGAACTCTATCTATCTATCTATCTATCTATCTATCTATCTATCTATCTATCTATCATCTATCTATCTCTCTATCATCTATCTATCTATATCTATCTATCTATCTATCATCTATCTATATCTATCTATCTATCATCTATCTATCTATATATCTATCTATCATCTATCTATATCGATCTATCTATCTATCTATCTATCTATCTATCTATCTATCTATCTATCTATCTATATCTATTCTATCTATATATCTATCGAGCATCTATCTATATCTATCTATCTATCTATCTATCTATCTATCTATCTATCTATCTAATCTATATATTTTAATTTATTTCAGAGAGGAATGGATAAGGAGAGATAGAAATATCCATGATGAGAGAGAATCATGGACCGGCTGCCTCCCGCACGCCCCCTACTGGGGATGGAGCCCGCAACCCGGGCCTGTGCCCTTGACTGGAATCGAACCCTGACCTCCTGGTTCATAGGTCGAACGCTCAGCCCCTGTGCCACGACGCCCTGGCTCCATACCCAGTAGGGGGCATGCAGGAGGCAGCCCATCCTCTCCCATAGCCCCCTGCACAGCGGCCCTCTGCCTTCTCCCTCTGAGTTGCATGCGTTTTTTTCTGTCCGTGGAACGTTCCGGAAGGCTGGCGACTTCGTTGTCGGGGTGAGCCCGGGGGGCGGGCCCTCGATCGGGGAGGGGAATGGGCCATGCTTTCCCTCTGGGTGGCACTTACAATAATCGGAGATCCATAGGCTCCTGTTCTTGAGGCACTGGGTCCCATTCCAGACGGAAAAGTTGAGAATCGTATCGCCTTCGGCCACCAGGAGGCAGCCAACCCGGCGTCCGTTCTGAAGGAGGTAGTTGGGGCATTCACTGTCATTCTTCTCCTTAAATCTATGGGTTTTGGGGTTGTTGTTTTTTTTTTAAAAAAAAAAAAAAAAGAGGACCATTTAGCCATAGAATGTATTTGGAAATAGTACCTATCCCCTATAATAAAACTCGAATATGCAAATCGACCGAATGGCGGAATGAACTGGCAGAATGACCAGTTGCTGTGACGTGCACTGGCCACCAGGGGGCAGACAATAAAACCCGAATATGCAAATCGACCGAATGGCGGAATGAACTGGCAGAATGACCAGTCGCTGTGACGTGCACTGGCCACCAGGGGGCAGACAATAAAACCCGAATATGCAAATCGACCGAATGGCGGAATGAACTGGCAGAATAACCGGTCGCTGTGACGTGCACTGGCCACCAGGGGGCAGACAATAAAACCCGAATATGCAAATCGACCGAATGGCGGAATGAACTGGCAGAATGACCAGTTGCTGTGACGTGCACTGGCCACCAGGGGGCAGACAATAAACCCCGAATATGCAAATCGACCGAATGGCAGAATGAACTGGCAGAATGACCAGTTGCTGTGACGTGCACTGGCCACCAGGGGGCAGACGCTCAACCCAGGAGCTGCCCCCGGCCCTCAGGCCCTGAGCAGCGGCTGGTGAATGAGCAGGGGACCCCCGATCGCCCCCCCAGTCGCCCCACCGATAGGCCCTGATGGCCGGCCAGGCCGAGGGACCCTAGCCGTGCACGGATTTCGTGCACCGGGGCCTCTAGTATGTAGCTCATTAGCTAATTCCTCACCCGAGGGTATTTTTCCAGTGGTTTTTTTTTTTAATTGTTATTTTTAAAAAATTCTTATTTATTTATTTTTTAAATGTTTTTATGGATGTCCGATGGGAAGGCAGAAGGAGAGAGAGAGACATCAGTGATGAGAATCATGGGTCGGCCGCCTCCTGCCTGCCCCCTACTGGGGATCGAACCCGCAACCCGGGCCTGTGCCCTTGACCGGGAATCGAACCCGTGACCTTAAAAAAAAAATAGACCTTAAACCCAAGCAGTGACTAGATCAAAATTTACCCAAATAAAGTGTAGAAAAGGGTTAGACTCTCAGAGGGAAGGTGGGGGGAGGGAGGGGTGGGTGGGAGATAATTAACTAAAGGCCTTGAATGTATAACCCATGGACAATTGGGGGTGAGGACCTTGGGTTGGGGGTCAGGGGGGCGAGCTGAGGGGTTCAATGGCAGGAAAAAAAAGGACATATGTAATTTTTTCAACAACAAAGATTTATGCAGAAAATAGTAAATAAGCCCTGGCCGGTGTGGCTCAGTGGATAGGGCACAGGCCTGCGGACTGAAGGGTCCCGGGTTCGATTCCCGGCCAAGGGCATGTACCTTGGTTGCGGGCACATCCCCAGTGGGGGGCGTGCAGGAGGCAGCTGATCGATGTTTCTCCCCCATCAATGTTTCTGACTCTCTATCCCTCTCCCTTCCTCTCTGTAAAAAATCAATAAAATATATTTTTAAAAAGAAAATAGTAAATAAAACAGCGTAAGCCCCCGTAATCCATGCACAACCTGGTGCTGGAAAATTCAAGTGAGTCATCTCCGTCCACACGTGGAAATTCAAGGCCCTTATCTGCCCCCCACGACCCCACCCCACCCCCCCTGAGTCTTGTTTGTTCGAAATCGATTCATCTTCGCGTCTCTGTCCTGCGCACGCCTCCCGTTTAATCTCATGGGCTATCAAACCACAGGGCACCCGCCACCGTTCACAGAAATGATAATAAATTCATTGGAAAGAGAAAAAAAAAGAAAAAAAATGCGTCAAGATGAATAAGGCTCTAAGACGGCGGTTCTCAACCTGGGGGTCGCGGCCCCTCTGGGGGTCGGACGCCCCTCTCCCAGGGGTCGCCTCAGACCGTCGGAAAACACATCTCTAATCACATATTGATTTTCTGATTGATCCCTGAGCTTTCATGATGTTCCATGTGTCACCATGAAAATCCATCCTGCAGGTCAGATGTTTCCATGACGATTCGTAACAGCAGCCACATGACAGCGATGACGCAGCCACGAGAATAATGTTATGGTCGGGGGTCCCCACAGCATGGGGAGCTGCATTCAGGGGTCGCGGCCTTAGGAAGGTTGGGAACCACTGATCTATGACAAAGACAGACCCTGGCCAGTGTCCTCAGTGGATAGAACATCGGCCTGGGGACTGAAGGGTCCCGGGTTCGATACCCGGCACAGGCCCGGGTTGCAGGCTGGATCCCCAGTCGGGGGCGTGCGGGAGGCAGCCGGTCCATGATTCTCTCTCATCGTGGATGTTTCTATTTCTCTCTCTCCCTCTCCCTTCCTCTCTGAGATCAATAAAAATATATAAAGCTAAAGTCCCGATGCATGAAATTCATGCAAGATGAGGCCTTCCTTCCCCCGGCTGCCGGCACTGCTGGCCTCTGGCACCCGGGACCCTGGCTTCCCTCGCAGCACCTGGCTTCATCCGGAAGGTCGTCCGTAAGGATGTCTGGTCTAATTAGCATATTGCACTTTTATTAATATAGAAATCCTATCGAATAAAAGCCTAATATGCTAGGTGTCTACTGGCCGGTTGGTCGTTTAACCAATCAAAGCGTCATATGCTAATGATATGCTAAGGCTGCTCAATGCTTGCTATGACGTGCACTGACCACCGGGGGCAGACAGTAGACCAGTCGCTATGACGTGCACTGACCACCAGGGGGCAGACAGTCGACGGGTCGACCAGTCGCTGTGACGTGCACTGACCACCAGGGGGCAGACAGTCGACGGGTCGGCCAGTCGCTATGACGTGCACTGACCACCAGGGGGCAGACAGTCGACGGGTCGACCAGTCGCTGTGACGTGCACTGACCACCAGGGGCAGACAGTCGACGGGTCAACCAGTCGCTGTGACGTGCACTGACCACCAGGGGGCAGACAGTCGACGGGTCGACCAGTCGCTATGACGTGCACTGACCACCAGGGGGCAGACTCTCTCCCATCGTTAGGTGAGCTTGCTGCTGGGGTCCGGCCGATTGGGACTGAGCTAGTCAGGCCGGACACGCCCTGGCGCCCTCCCCGGCCCCGATCGTGCACCCGTGGGGTCCCTTGGCCCGGCCTGCGCCCCCTCGCCATCCGGGACCCCTCGGGGGACGTCGGAGAGCCGGCTTCGGCCCCCTCCCGCGGGCCTGGGTATGTCCATATATTTTAAAAAGCGACATTTTTTAGCACGGGGCCCGGTGTGTTCCTTCCCCGGGACACTCACCCGTAGAGAAAAGTCAGGTTGGTCCCCGAGGGCGGGCCTGCGTCCCAGGTCACCTGCACGGTTTGGAAATTAAAGTTGATGATCTGATGCTCGAAGGCGCCCCCTGGGGTCAAAACAGGCGAATGCGGGAGAGGGTCGGAGGGTTGCAAGGCGATGTCGGCGTCTTGTCGGGAAAGTGACACAGCAGCTCAGGGGTTAGAGCGGCGGCCTGTGAACCAGGAGGTCCCGGGTTCGATTCCCGGTCATGGGCACAGGCCCGGGTTGTACCCTCCATCCCCAGTCGGGGGCGTGCAGGAGGCGGCCGGTCCATGATTCTCTCTCCTCATGGATGTTTCTCGCTCTCCCTTCCTCTCTGAAATCAATCAATCAATCAATCAATCGATCAATAAGGAAGGATGACCCAGCCAAAGGACACAGGCCGTCCAGGATCAGGGCAGGGAAAACCTGGCCAGGAATAGGAATGTCTGGCCCGTGGGCCGTATGAGGCCCAAGAAATCATTTGACATCAGGGATGAGTTCGTTCTATGTTTGACCAAACATAACAGGCCAATATTTTTCATAAATCAGTTATTTACTTATTTTTTAAATATATTTTTATGGATGTCAGAGAGGGAGAGAGAGAGAGAGACAGACATTGATTCGCTGCTCCCACACATGCCTCTAATGACCCTACAACCTCATACCTCGACTGGGAATCGAACCCACCACCCTTCCATCCACGGAAATCAATAAAAATATATATGTTGAAGATACACTCTTTCCATTGGTTTATTTTAGAGAGAGTGGAGAGAGAGAGAAACATCCATAAAAGAGAGAGAGACATCGATTCGATGCCTCCCACACAAGCCTCTAATAACCCTGCAACCTGGTGCCTTGGCCGGGAGTCGAACCCGGGACCCTTCTATCCACAGGCGCGCGCGCCCTACCCATTGCGCGCGTCCTATCCATTGCGCGCGTCCTATCCATTGAGCGCGCCCTATCCATTGCGCGCGCCCTATCCATTGCGCGCGCCCTATCCATTTCGCCACCGCCGCCCAGAGTCACCTCCTTGCCAATTTCCTGCAGAAAAGAGTGAGTTGGCCCAAGAGGCCTTAACGCCCCCCCTCAAAAAAGGGGGGGAATGTTTTAAACGAAGGGGGTTTCCGCCACCAGGAACCCCAAGTCCTTCCTTACCGGCTCCTATGAGATGTGCCAGGAGGAAGACCGCCGCGGGCGCCCAAGCGGGGAGCGCACGGGTCATCCTGGGGCGCGGGAGGGAGGGAGGGGGGGATGGAGGCGGTGGGTGGCCTCTCCGTGCTCCCCGATCTCTCCCTCTGGGTTCCTGGGTCATCTGCGCAGGGCACCCGCTTTTTAAAAGGGCAGGGAGAAACAGTAGGGAAGTGACTACAGGAAACCAGCTCACGTAGCAATGACAGATGAGAGATGACTCTTTCGCATATATGACCTTAACCTATGGACGCAGAAGACAGGGGGGGGGTCGGGGCCTCGGGGTGAGGGGGTGGGTGGGGGTGGGGCGGGCTGGAGGGGGGCCATGGGCGGGGGAGAAGGGGACATAGGTAATCCTTTCAACAATAAGAATTCATTTCATTTTATTATTCTATTTCGTTTCATTTTATTATTTTTTTTATGTCATTCTATTATTTTTTAAAATATATATATATTATTGATTTTTTTACAGAGAGGAAGGGAGAGGGATAGAGAGTCAGAAACATCGATGATGAGGAGAGAAACATCGATCAGCTGCCTCCTGCACGCCCCCACTGGGGATGTGCCCTTGACCGGAATCGAACCCAGGACCCTTCAGTCCCAGGGCCGGCGCTCTAACCACTGAGCCACCCAGCTAAGGACTGGCGTGAGTCGCTCCTCTCAGCCCTGGTTGCTTCTACTTCTAAGCTGGTTTGGGGGTGCGGCCTGTCCACCTTGCAAAGCTCCCTACCCCCCCCCATTCAACCCTCCCCCTCCCCGGGCCCATGGATGTCGTGAGCTTGTGGTTGGGCTGTCACAACATCCATCTCTCACCCAGACCCGTGGGACTGACTCCGATTACATAACAGAACGACTTCCCCCCCGGCGGCCAGGAGGGCGTTCGAAGATTCAGCTTTGAAAGGAAGG